GGTCTGCTCTTCCCCGTAGTGGGGATAATTATCTACTTTAGGAGTTGAAAAAGTAGGGAATCCGTCAGTGCCTGACACACCCCATACACTTTTTAGGGAGGGGGACAGCACTTTTCTGAGGTTTGTTTCCAGTGTATCAGTAAACTTACATGAAGTTTTTCTTCCATCAAGAACCTCAAAATTCCTACAAATTCAGAAATCAATGTTTTATGTTTACTTACATTGACACCAAAAATTCTGTGGTTTATAGACACAAGAGAAAGGAAAAGGAGCTTTACATTTAGTGGGCTGAGACCCTAGGCCATGGAACACTAGATCTGTGGGACCAAAGCTCAGGGCTCAGGAGCTCTGAGCAGGTGCTCCCGTCTCTGCCCTGGCTGCAGGGAGTTATGTTGCTGCAAAGATCTCAGCAGGTAGAGCTGAGGCTGAAGGCGTGGTATTTAGGAGGCAGATTCATCTCCGTGTTCTTTCAGTATGTTCTTGCCCTCTTTCTCAAGGACATGCTGGACTTCAGCCAACAGGTTATGTCCTTTGACCCTCTCCAGGAGAGATTTGCTTTCCCTACAGTGGATTGTCAAAGTGGTGAGACACAAGGCAGAAGTACCAAGAAAGGTAGAGATCCAAATTTCTGACTGGAAAATTTGCACCAAAAACTCTGCCCACTTACTAGAAGACCTGTGCTCCGGAGTGGCTTTGGCTCTGGAGACATGGGAATGTATCTGTCCTTTTTCTGCAGGGCTGTCGCGAGAGGTCCTGAGAAGGAAAAAGGACCACGTGCAGATTTAGGTCTAGAAACACCATTGTCCTCTGTCTTCCTCAGGACTCCTGAGCTAAAGAAGAAGTGACACCAGCCGAGGAAGGACTGGCGTCTGCCTTTCCATCTTAGGACAGGATTCTCACTTGGCTCCAGTTCTATCCCTGGAGCTGATTGCCTCCTGGTTCAGTGACTGTCTTAGTTAATTTTCCTTCATTTCTGAGACAAAATATCCAACACCCACAAGTTAAAAAAGAGGAGAGATTTATTTAGCTCACAGTTTGTAGAGGTTTCAGTCCATAATCAGCTGGCTTCAAGGTAGGGTGGCATCCGGCAGAAGGGCAACTGCTCATGGCTGCGGAAGACAGCGAAAGCAACAAGAGAAGAGGGGAGAACAGGCCTCTTTCCTTCCTTATGTTGTGCGAAGGCTACTAGCACTAGTGTGAGGTAGCACTTACACCTTAATCATAGCATTAGACTGTGAACAATCATAAATTCTAGAATCAGCCACCTCCAAAGGCCTGGTCCCCATAACTACATGTGGCTGTGGAGGACTCTAGACATAAACTAACAGTGACCTACAGAACATGTCCTTCTGATGGTTGCTCAGCCCCTCCAGCCCCAGCTCAGACCGCAGGACCATCTTTCCTTGTCTCTTGGACCCTTCGTGTTCAGTCCTTTCTGCCTTCCTCACGTCTCAACTCACATTGTGCTGCATTACATTTGTCTCAGATAAGCGCAGTGTGAAATGTCATCTACTCCACATAGTTTAGATGAAAAGAAATAGAAAAGATAAAGGGAGAATTGTAGGGAGCCCCCGGGGAGTGGCTGACTCTGGAAAGCAGGCACATGTGCAGGGGATACGACAGAGCCAAAGTGCCTAAAGCCATCAAGCTACCTGAGAAAAACATCATGCCCGAGATGAGTGCAGTCATTAGTCACTAGGCAACCCTGGAGGCCTATCAGGGGCGGGCTGGAGGAGGAATAAATGATCAAAACAAGTTACATGCAAGAACAATGATATCACAGTGAGACACAATATTTTATAAAATGAAGATGCGCTAATAAGAATGTATACTATTTTGTGCCCATGAGTTGATAAAAAGAAAAATTCTGAAGTGTCCTAACATTAATTGTTGGGACAGAGGATACAGAGGTTGGGGAATTAATGAGACATTTTTAGAGAGGGGATAATGGGACAATAATCTGTTAATAGTTGGGGTAAAATGAGTAAAGGGACTCTTAATGTTGAAATCTTGACTTAAGTCACGCTTGGCCAACCTCTGGGAGCAGCCCTTGTTTACCTCTGAAGCTTCCCAACCATTTGTCCCGATCACTGCAGAAACAGCAAGGACTGCTCCTAAGCTCAGGCTTTCTGGGCTTCGTGTAAACCATATACTATAAACTTTAACCAGTGGAAGTTTGATAAGGTGCATATTGATTTCTTTCCCCAACATCTATAAAAGTATTCTTCTTATTGTTGTTATTATGTTTTCCTTTGGTGTATGGATCAGTGACCGCCTTGTATTTCAAGTGCAGATTAGCAGTAGCCTTCTGCAAACTCCTGAGACGATCCTGGCCCCTGGACAAGGGGCAGACATTCTCTACTGTGCTGTTGTAACTGGTATCTAAATGTCCCTCCAAAGCCTCATGCACTCGTAAGTGGGGCTTTTATGAAATGGCTGGATCGTGGGTCTGTGGTGCCGGATTATTGTGTGTGATACTGAGATTAAGGGTGTGTGCTAACTAAATTGGCTTAGCATAGTTCTGAGTGTGGATAACGGAAGCCTCATCGTGGGTGTGGGTGGCAAGAATCAAGAGGCTTGTACCCTGGATGGAGTACAAAGCCTTGCTACTTGCTGCCTTCGGCCTGCCACGCCATGAACTGTTTCTCCTCAGCAGTGCCCTTCTGCCATGCTACCCTGCTTAGTGGTTATCAGACATGGACTGAAGCCTCTACATACTGAGGGCTGAAATAAACATTTCCTCTTTTAGCTTGTGGGTTTTGGCTATTTTGTCCCAGCAATGAGAAATTAGCTAAGACAAGTAACTTGCTGAGGACTACGGAAGCCCATTTTCCCATGATGTATTGAAATCCTTTAGGCCAATTATAATTGAGTCCCATTCAGGGGGGCTTGATAGGACTCAACACATGTGTAATGCTACAAATTGCAACATGTGTGTTGTTGTTTGTTTTGCTTTGTTTTGCTGTACTGAAGACTGAACTTCAGCCCTTGTTCCTGCCAGGCAGGTGCTAATGCCACTGAACTATCTCCCCAGTCCTAGAGCGTGTGTGTTGTGTATTATTCAGGGACTCTGTATTCAGGTTTTACTTGTTTGTTCTCAGGTGTTGTGATTTAATTAGCTAAAAACAAACCCAGGGCTTCATACATCAAGGTCAGAGAGTGCATAAAATCTCCGTACTGATAACCACTTTCTGCCAGAAACCAATTTAACCCTATTTTCCTCAGGAAATAGGCTGTCATTGGCACCTGTCACACACCGCAGACATGGAGAACACTTCTTCCCTTGTTGCAGTGACAAAGTTCGACCTAAAGATTACACAGCAGATGATGGTTTGGTGACACTTTGCCTATTATTTTACCTAAACTGACCTTATATTGGATAGTATTAAAGCAGCACATTTTTGTAACTCATAGATGCATACAACACACAGAATTTAGTTCCTAAGCTCCAGCCATTGAGCCTCACTCCTGACCAAGGGATGTGGGAATTCTGAAAGTACTGTTAGCCTTTCTAACAAGGGAACTTGCGTGGAGTCAAGGGTGTCATTGTAGGTCAGACATCAATTTTGTCACTTCGGTAGAAGTGTAGTGACGGCAGTTCAGTGACTCTCTGAGGGAACTAGAATCCTATGCGGTCACTGGCCCAAATTTTAGGGGGCACTGTCACCCGTTCAAAGCCGTAGTGGTATTAACATGCATGGCGAAGGTCCAAAGTGGTAAAAACAATATAAAAGATATTATTAACGTAGAGAATATTATTCTCTTTGGAAACTAAACATGGATAGTGTAATATAACAACAGAAATTGTGGCAGTTGAACTTTGTATCTCAGTCCAACCTCGAGCAGATAACTCCCTAACTTTGTATCCTTACAGGAGTCATTCAGCCGCCGTTGGTTATTCTTTCCATACACGGTAATGAGAGAGTCACTCACCTTACTGCGCTGAAGTGATCATAACATTTTCTAGATATGATACATAAAAATCCACAAGGCTCATTCTGAGCGGCATGGAAAGCGCTCCGAACTCGTTCAGTGGATTCTGGTAATCTTCGTTGCAATCTGATGACAGCCGCTGCCAGAAATATTGAACCACACGTCTCATCAGCACTCTGGGAAACTGGAAATTCATGCAAACAGTACATGCACAATAGTCATTTAAAGCCCATTCTAGGGGCCGGTGAGATAGCTCAGCAGACCAAGCGCCTGCTTAGGCAAGCGCACGGACTGGCATTTGCTCCCCGGCACCACGCGCTGAGCCAGCCGATGCTGGTGCAAGCCTGCAGTCCCAGGGCTGGCGAGGCTAAAGACAGGGAGCTCACTGAGTCCGAGCCGTTTAGGAAGACCCTGAACCAAATACATAAAATAAAGTCCATTCTAAATCTGAGACTTTAAGTTTACATTAATTTGATATACATGTCTGTTTGTGTGCATATGTAATAATGATCTAATAGAAAAATTATATTTTAAAAGTTATATGATTTCATCAAGTGACACAATTCATAATTTTTTCATAGTATTATAGGTCCTGAAAATTCTCTAGTGCATTCATTAAAAAGTCTTTCCATATCTTTTCTTCATATCCTCAATAAAATGAGGAAATCACAATAGGAACCAGGACTAAGGTGTTGAACACTCATATGAAATACTAATTCTCCTGAGGCTTTGTGTCAAAGACTGACTTGGAGTCAACAGAACTGGCTCACTGTAGTGGATGAATGCAAGTTTGTCAGGTCAAAATGCATCAAACCTTGGAAGTACTAAACCAAAACCACCTTTTCATTGAAAGATACTGTAAGTTTCACAAAAGGTTCTTCACACTGAATCTCTGACCACCAACTAATGATGTCATGCATCTCTGATGCTGATTGGTTCCTCAACGCTGAAATTACCCACCCCAGCAGCACCCTACTGAGCATCTTGCTGCTCAGTATTTGGGACAGGAGCCAAGAAGGATCACAGAGCTCACTGAGCGAGATCTGTCTGCTCCTCTGTGACCCAGTTCTCCCTTCTCTCCCAGCATGGTGTGTAGGTGGCTCCCCAGGGGCTCCTGTGTAGCAGCTCTGATGCTGACCCTGATGGTGCTGAGCCCTCCTGTGGCCTTGGTCAGGGACACACCACGTAAGTGCAAACCTCAAGTACTGAGCTACTGTGTGTGGGTGGTGGAAGGGAGTTTGTATTCTCACTTTGTAAGGCCACGTCTCTTACAAAATTGTGATTTTTTTCCTGCGACCACTTACTCTTATCATATGACTCTCAAGTTATTTCCACAAAGGAGCCCTGATTCCTACCCTTTCTATAAGATCTGCAAATAGGGTCTCCAGTTACCCCATTCCTTTCCAATTCTTCTGTGAAGAAACCTCTCCAGCCTTGCATCAGATTCTCTCCAGGGTTTGAAAGGACTGAAACATAATGGTGCTAATATAATTTCCTATTCAGTGCTTCCCTTTATTGTTGAGTTATGCCAGGAGAAAGGAAGGTTTCTCTGGAAATTATGTGTGCAGCCAAAAAGCACTGCAAGGATCCCCCCTGGAAGACCTATTGAAGCTGCTGCCTGTGTATTGTGTGAGGAGACAGCAAGTGGCATCTTTCATTTCTCATCTCTTATTCCCTGAACTTTAACGTTTGTAAAGCCCATGCCACCATGCTGGAGGTGCCCTGATGGAGTTGGGGTTAAGGTGCTCTCTTTCTCCTGTGGAAAGTACCCTGCATATGACACAGAGTAGTAACTGCTCAAAATAACCCTGAAGATAAAGAGCACCTGTTGGTTGTTCTTTGGTTCCTTAAAATACTTAAACCATCTTCTGAAAACCTAGCACAGTTTAGTTTTCATTATGATCCACATTTGAATCTTTCCATCCTATTGGCATATCCTACAGCTTGAGCATCTCTGGTTTGACCCTTTTAGAACAGATTCATCAGTAGGTGTAAAGTACGTGAAATTCTGTAAATTAAAGGTAGTTAAAATCAGCCATTTCATGTGGTTGAAGTTATACATCCTTCTCAGAGCTACAGGGAGCATGTGAAGATTGACATCCATGAAACTAAAATCCCATAATCAAGGAAATTTGGTCTATTGGAGTCTTCCCCACTTTCCTAATTTTCTTTATCATTCCTCTGCTTTCCTTAGATAGTTTTCTAAGATTTCCTCTGCTTACCACTTCTCCTTAATTCTTTCTCCAAGCTATGTCTTGATTTTAAATTTCTGTCATGCAGCTCAATGTTGGGTTCAAAACTTGCATGTGCCTACTTGTTGAATCATCTCTTGTTGGAGAGAGACAGAGACAGAGACAGAGAGACAGAGCGAGAGAGAGACAGAGAGAGGATGGAAGAAGGGAAGGAGGGAGGGGGGAGAGA